CTGGCTTGAGACCAGTGGAGAAATAGCAAGCAAGGGGAGGGCCCAGGCCCAGCTCCCCAAGACAGCAAGGCTCCCTTCCGGACCAAGTCCTGCACTTCGGATATTTCTTTTACAAAAAGGTGCGATATTGTGCATCAGACACAGGGAGTCCTTGACCTACGACCACGATTGAGCCCCCCCCCAACTTCTGTTGCTAAGGGAGACCCATGTTAAGTGAGCCCTGCCCCATTTTACGACTTCTCTCGTTCCCGTTGTTGAGTGAATCAACGTGGGTTGATCAATCCGTAACCCGGTTGGTTAAAGGGAATCTGGCTCCCCGTGGACTTTTTGTTTGCGAGGAGGTCACAAAAGGAGATCCCGTGTGACCTCCGGGACACGGGGACTGTCATAACTATGAGTCGGTTTCCAAGGGTCTGGATTTCGATCGCGTGACGCTGGAGGAGGCTGGTCGTCAAGGATGGAAAAATGGTCCTCCTAAGTCACTTTTTTTTCAGGGACGTTGTAACTTAGAACGGCCACTAAATGAACTGTTGCAAGTCGAGGATCTACCTGTAAGCCTTTTGGGACAAATATGAGAGGAAGGAGAGCCGCCTACCACGGTGTCCCTTGACAAGGGTGGGATTCCATTTTTTTTTAACTACTGGTTCTGTGGGCGTGGCTTGGTGGGCGTGGCTTGGTGGGCGTGGCTTGGTGGTGTGGCAGGGGAAGGATACTGCAAAATCCCCTTTCCCTCCCGAGCCCACTAACTATTGTGGTTCACTGGCAGCCAGTGCAGACAGCAGCGGAATTGGACAGTGGGAAGGATGGGGACCAGTCTGAGGGTCCTACGTCCGATACAGAGATGGGGCCAGGACCACCGGGGAGTTATGTGCTGAATCCGGAGTCTGGCAGCAGCGAGGCAGAGGAACAAGGGGAGCCTGGCTCGTGGCCCAGTAGTGGGATGCGGCCCGGGAGTTGGGGACCCCTGTACTAAGATCACCTTTAAATCTATTGATTAATCCCTGAGCACCTTTGCCACCTGCCACCTCCGTCCTAAATTACTCCCTGAAGAGCCATCCTTCCCAATTCCTGTCCACCCCGCGATTTATAGCAAATCTCAGCAGCATGAAGCTGTCGCCATGTTGATGCAGCTGGCACAGAATGGGCAGCTTTGGCACACCGAGTTTGGGATTGGGGTGCACCCACACAGCTTCTCACCCTCTTTCTCCTGCTTGCAGAGCGGAGGCCAGGTGTTGGAAGAGGGTTGGGGGCTCACGGTTGGCATGGAAGAGGCTCTAATTTCAGTACAGAAAAGGCCCAAAGAAGAATAAATGAGCACAAGGAACAGAGTGCCTATGAATCACTGATTCTTACACTGATGTTGATATTGATTGCATTTATACCCTTTGTTCTGTCTACTCAATATAAAGGGAAGGCTTAGCAAAGAGCCATAGAGATAGGCTGGAGTGAGCGAGAGAGAGAGAAAGAGAGAGAGAGAGAGAGAGAGAGAGACAGAGGAGAAATAAGAGAGAAAGTGAAGAGAGATAAGGACACAGAGAGAGAAATGAGAAAAAGAGAGGAGAGAGAGAGGGAGAGAGAGAAGGAGAGAGAGGAAAGAGAGAGAGAAGGAGAGAGAGAAGAAGAGACAAGGAGAGAGGGAGAGAGGAGGAGAGAAAGAGAGAGGAGGAGGAGAGAGAAGGAGAAATAAGAGAGAGAGAAGGAGAGAGAGAGAAGAAAGAGAGATAGGAAGGACAGAGGGAGAGAAATGAGAAAAAGAGAGGAGAGAGGGAGGGAGGGAGAGATCTCTTCCAAATCATTCAAGGCATTTCAGGACCAGCCAACGATTTGAACCCGCATCTCCCTGGTCATAGCCCAATGGGTTTACTGTGATACTAGGTGGGAACAAGCCTCTCGGTGGGATGTACTAAGAGCGGCCAAAGGGATGCTTTGCCTTGTCCCTGGAGGTGCTTATCTCCCTCAACCTCTTGATCTGCTGGGGGAGGCCCAGTTGCCAAGCCTCTGAATTTGCAAAGTTCCTAAGGGTGAATCCTGCAGGCCCATCAGAGAGGCAACAGCCAAAAAAGCTAATACAATCCCTGGTTGTATAAACAGAGGCATCAAAGCACATGAAGTACTAGCACCACTTTATAAAACCTTAGTAAGGCCACACCTAGAGTACTGCATCCACTTTTGGTCACCACACTATAAAAAAATGTTGAGACTCTAGAAAGAGTGCAGAGAAGAGCAACCAGGATGATTAGGGGACTGGAGGCTAAAACATACGAAGACCGGTTGCAGGAACTGGGCCTGGCTAGTCTAGGGAAGAGAAGGACCAGGGGAGACAGGAGAGCAGTCGTCCAATATTTGAGGGGGGGCACAAGGAGGAGAGGGTCGACTTATTTTTCAAAACACCAGAAGGCAGGATAAGAAGCAACGGATGGAAACTGATCCAGGAGAGAAGCAACCTAGTACTAAGAAGAAACTTCCTGACAGTGAGGACAATTAACCAGTGGAACAGCTTGCCACCAGAAGGCTCCATCACTGGAGGTTTTAAAGAAAAAACTGGACAGCCACTTGTCTGAAATCATATAGGATCTCCTGCTTGAGAAGGGGCTGGACTAGAAGACCTCCAAGGTCCCTTCCAACTCTATTTTGATTGATTGATTGATTGAAAAGTAGCGATGTAAGAAACAGAAGATTGGCATAAGCAGTTCTTGGAAAAACATTTGCATTTCTCAGCAAAAGTCACTCTGAAATACAGATATCCCTTAACTTACAAGTTGAACCGAGCCTGAATTCTGTGGTTAAGTGAGATATTTGTGGCAAGGTCCTAAAATGGGGAACACTCACTTAATAACGGTCTTGCTTAGCAACAGAAATTTTGGAACCAATTGGGGTCATAAGTTAAGGGTTTCCAAGGAAGAAAGCAGTTAACATAAAGCCAACACACAATATGCGACCTAACATTAGAACCATCATTGAAAGGGATGTTGTTCTTGCGCCAACTCAGAAAGCTCAGAGTGCCCAAGGAGCTGCTGATGCAGTTCTACAGAGGAATAACTGAGTCTGTCATTATATACATATATAATGTACAGTATATAATCATCTGGTTTGGCACAGCAACCAAACAGGAAAGGGACAGACTTCGACAGAGAGTCAGGACTTCAGGAAAAAAAAACATTGCAACCCGCCTGCCTTCCATGAGGATATGAATAACGCAGGAGCCAGAAAGGGGGCTGAGAAAATATCTGCAGACCCCTCACATCCTGGACGTAAACTGTTTCAACTCCTCCCCTCGGGATGGCGCTGCAGGGCATTGCACGCCAAAACAACCAGACATGCCATCACTCTGCTGAACAACTAAGTCCCACAGCATTGTCTGATTTCTCTTCTTTCCTACTATTAGGAAATTCTATTCCTACTATTCTTTCCTACTAACTCATAAAACATTCCTATGCCTGTTTTAGTAGTTGCCATAAAAAAAAAAAAAAGGGAAGGAGGGGAAAGAAGGAAATCTGGAAGCAGTTTGAAGGCGAAAGTACATTCCAACTCTTATCTTTAAAAGATTGTAACTAAACTACCAGAGCTTTTGCCTCAAATACATTTAATTGGAAAACGTGAATGACGACACCCAGCCTGTGAACGTGCTCAATTGGAGAATCTGGTTTATGAGACAACCAAGGAGGAGAGGAGAAACAGGTTCACGGGGGACTGTAAATTACGTCTGCCAGAGTTTGTTGCATACAGGGCAGTGCCAGTATGTCGCCTCTAATGAATCCTTTGAAATTTTTTGAAGTTTGGCTTGAGAATCATAATTTAATTAGGGCGATTGCTGGAATCCTGACAACTATCTTCTCCTATTTGGTTTCTTACCATTTATCAATGGTTGTTTGTAACTTACGTTTAATGCTCGTAACTATGATTTACAACCTGTGAACTATTACTTGCTGTTTATATGAGCTTATGCACCGGAGACAAATTCCTTACAAGTGTCTGATCACACTTGGCCAATAAAGAATTCTATTATATTGTTGACTGTTGACTGCCACAATGTGCTTTGCCACAACACCAACTTCCAACGGCACTGTCTTATGCCTAAGCATATTTAACCATGAAGTAGAACTGTACAGGTGGTCCTCGACTTGCAACAGTTCAGTCAGTGACATTTCAAAGTTACAACGGCACAGAAAAAAGGTGACTTGCAACCATTTTTTCACACTTACGACCATTACAGCATTGCCATGGTCACGTGATCAAAATTCAGATGCCTGGCAACTGACTCATATTTATGACGGTTGCAATGCCTTGGGGGGTCATGTGATCCACTTCTGCGAGCTTCTGGCGAGCGGGGAAGCCAGATTCACTTCACGACAGTATTACCGACTTAACAACTGGAGCGATCCACTTAACAACGGTGGCAAGAAAGATCGTAAAATGGGGCAAAAGTAACTTCACTTTTCGCTTAATTTACTTAAATTTTCACTTAAAGGTAAAGGTTCCCCTCGCACATGTGTGCTAGTCATTTTTGGCTCTAGGGGGCGCTGCTCATCTCCGTGACAAAGCCGAAGAGCCAGCGCTGTCCAAAGACGTCTCCGTGGTCATGTGGCCGGCAGGACTAAACGCCAAAGGCACACGGAACACTGTTCCCTTCCCACCAAAGGGGTCCCTATTTTTCTACTTGCATTTTTTTTACATGCTTTCGAACTGCTAGGTTGGCAGAAGCTGGGACGAGGAAATCATTCCATTACGCGGCGCTAGAGATTCGAACCACCAACCTTTCTGATCAACAAGCTTTGCCACTGAGCCAACAGCAATTTTGGGCTCAATTGCAGTTATAAGTCAAGGACTGCCTGTACACGGATTTGTGCTACTCTAAGGGAAATTAAAGTGGGAGGGGAAAGGATTGGGGAAACCGCCCCCTCCCGCCCCCCAACTGTTGAGCACACACTTTCACTCTGCTGAATCCATTCCAAATTATGACACATAGACACCCCGAGTTCATCAGAAAGAGGCTTACTCACTTGGACAAATCAGCGCCTCTTTCGCAGTGATGCTCTTATTACACGCGTAGCACATGGTCATGCCAGAGACCGTAATGGAAGTGAAGAGGTGCCCATTGGTGTAGCGGGCATCCTTATCTTTGCCTTCCTTCATCCTTTCTTTTTCTTTGTTCTGAAAAAAAAAGAAATAAAGAGAAAAGGGGGTTTGTTTCTTATCAGGAGGGAACTGGTGAACGAAATCCTCTTGATCTGAATTGCTGGATTCTGATTTTTCCTGCCACCTCAAAAGCATTCACACATTCGACTCCATCACTTACGTAGGGCAGGATCACACAGATGAATGCATGTTATATTTAACACCAGAGAGGCTGCATTAAAAAAAAACATTTAATTTTTCAGATACCTTTTAATGCAGACATACCTGGGAGTGGGCACATTAAAATCTTTAGCTCTCAAGTACCAACATGCCAATATGAAAACATGTTATATTCTTTTTTTTCCTGAAAACCACAACGTCTGAAAGTATTTGAGGTCAGAAATACAGCAACTGGTGGCCACCTTCCTGATCTATACCATATACAAAATTTTCTGTAGCACATTTCTTCTTATGTATAGACTCACTTGAGAGAAATGTTGCTTAAATAATTTTCAATCCAAAATAATGCTTACCCGTTTCCCGTTTTGCGTGGAAAGACTTAGCTGCTGAACCTGGAGCTGTACAGTAAAAGACCCAGAACTCTCCCAAATTACAAGGGGTCTCTAAGATCATCAGCACCAACCCAACTGACCCACAGCGAGGACCCTTCCCGGTTCCACATCTGCTTATGGGATTGATGGGATTCGGAACAAAGCCAAAAAGCTTGACCGCTTCAACAAATGACTCAAAACCAGCAAGCAAAATGCAATTTAAAAAAACAAACAAACCTAAAACCAGCTGAATTCCACCTCTTTATCATAAGTAGAAATCAATCAGGCTTGTAAAAATGTGCACATTTGATGTGCCAAGCCAGCGACTTAAGCTATAAATACTTTAAAAAAAAACACCAACCAAACTTTCAGAGGAAACAAGTCGCTTAAGAAAATTAACCAGCCCCAATTCCCTCCTGATTCTGACCTCATACAGGATGGCCTCTTCTTCACACCTAGACGAAAGACCCCAAACACCTGCCCCCAAACACACCTTTCCCACGCTCCCTCTCTGGTTCTGGCTCAGCCGCTGTCCGTTCCTGCTCCCCCCTGGGACGGGAAGGGGGTGCCCAGGGGCTCTTGACATCCCAAGGGCCAGTTGCCCTTCGTAAACTCTCGGAGAGCTCATCCTAGCCCGAAGGAGGATCTGGACTGAGTCATCTGAAACCTCTGGTCTGACTCAACCCCCTGAGCAGCAGCAAAGAAAACCGACACAGCCCCACGTTGTGAGTTGGCTTGGAAAGCCCAGATTGAGGAGATGCGATCGAGGAGGAGGAGGAGGAGGAGGCGGAGAGAAAAAACGAAGAGGAGGAGGAGGAGGAGGAGAGAGGGAAAAGAAAAAGAAAAAAAGACACCCAGGCAGTTTATCTTTTCCTGTACCTCTCTTGCTTCCAATAACCATGACAACCATGCGTCTGACGGAGAAATTCCACCACTGTGCCTGTCGTGCATAGATGCCTCGGCACTCAAAGACAAGCAAACTTTCAGCCAACCTGGTGCTTTCCAGATGTGCTAGCTGAGTTCCAAGCTATCTAGAAGACTGGGTGAAGGCTCATAAACACCCATAAAAGACCTTGGAAGTCTTCTAGTCCATCCCCCCCACCCGCTCAAGCTCATAGACTCTAGGCTATAAGGGACCTTTGAGGTCTTCTAGTCCATCCCCCCCACCCACTCAAGCTCATAGAATTTAGGCTATAAGGGATCTTCGAAGTCTTCTAGTCCATCCCCCCCACTCAAGCTCATAGAATATTCTATGAGCTTGAGGGGGGGTGGACTAGAAGACCTCGAAGGTCACTTACAGAATCTTAGAATCTAGGCAGGGCTATAAGGGACCTTTGAGGTCTTCTAGTCCACCACCCACCCACCCCCACTCAAGGTGATAGAGTCATAAAATCTAGGCAGGGCTGTAAGGGACCTTTGAAGTTTTCTAGTCCACACACACACACACACACACACTCACATACACACACACACACACACACACACACACTCAAGGTCATAGAATCTTAGAATTGTAGGGCTGGAAGGGACCTTGGAGGTCTTCTAGACCAACCCTCTTGCCCAGGGCAGGACTCCTTATTCCATCCCAGGCAAATGGTTGTCCAATTCTTTTCTGGAAAGCCTCCAGGCACATGAAAGGAAAAAACAAACTCTAGGCTATCTGGAGGAGGATTCTGCTATCAACGTCTTGGGCAAAATTCACGTTCAGCTATCATCCCCTTTGCAGGGTTAAGGTACCTGCATCCCGTATACCTGCAAAGTGGACCTGCGCAGGGCCCCGCCCCCCCCACTTTCCGTTTCACATCATGTGCGGATGAAGTGAGCCACTTTGCAAAGAGTCTAAATTTAACCCGATGAGCCCTTTTCTGCGCCTTCTTAATTCCATGTTTAGGAAGCTTTTGATTGTCACTCCAAGGCTTAAATTGGAAGGTCTGAGTCAACTGCAGAGGGCTTCACCTTTGTGAATAGAGGGGTAATCTGTTCCGGAAAACATGGGCCAGGTGATTTGTGGTCCGAATCTGCAGAAAGTCACTTTCCGTGGATGCTGCCGGACCATCGGAGATTTCTCTGACGCCCAGATTTTCCAAATCCGCTGTAAAACGCAGCCAGGATAGTTTCAGGCTGTTCTGCTTGTTGAATTCTCTCTGGGCATAGGAGCAAAACCAGTGAAACAAGCCCTACTCATGGTTGCTCCTGCTCTCGCCACCTTCCCTCTTGACTACTGCAATGAGCTCTAGGTGGGGCTGCCCTTGAAAAGCATCCGGAAGTTCCAGTTGGTGCAGAATGCAGCGGCCCGCATGGTTTTGTGCGGACCTTGTGTCACTTCTCTTGTGTTGGTTGCCAATTTGCTTCCGGGTGCAATTCAAGGTGCTGCTTGTCCCTTTAAAGCCCTTCATGGCTTGGGACCTCAGGTGGGGGGGAGGGATAACCGTCTCTTGCCAGTCACATCTACCCGACCCATCAGAGGCAAGGAATGCTGCGGGTCCCACTCCCGAGGGAGATACCCCTGGTGGGACCCAGAGGAAGGGCCTTCTCCATGGTGGCTCGCTTCCTCTGGAACATCATCCCTCCAGAAATTAGATTGGCCCCATTGTGACCCTCTTTTGGAAGGCCCTGAAGGCCTGATTCTGCCAGTGGGCCTGGGGAACCCAGAGTGAGACAGTGTTGTGGTTAGCCGGCGGCAGGTGTGGATGACTGAGGAGAGCGAGGACTCAGATGAGGAGCCAGGACCATCAGGGAGTGGACTGCTGCCTTCAGAGATTGTGGGGGCTGGCAGCAGCGATGAGGAGGTTCCCAAGGAGCCTGTGCCAAGTGCGCATGGATTGCTCGCAGAAGAGAGCAGTTGCAGCAGCATGGGCGACTCGGGAGTAAGACTGCAAGGTAATGACCCCTCCTTCAAGAAGATAAAAGCCAGCTGTGAAACAAACGTTCTTTGCAGAAAGCAAAGACGTTTTGAAACTCCAGCCTCGTGGACATTCCAGTATCCTGAGTTTGTATTTGAAGATTCTTGTATTGCAAATTATTTCTTGTCTGTTATCTTTTGGCCAGTCTCGCACAGTTTGGCAAGGCTTGTGCTTATTACAGCTAATTATTTTGCAGAAGCACTAAAAGGTTTCTATTCCCTTTGGACTGTGTTTGATTTGTGGAAAAGGGCGTGGGTCAGAACAGGCGGAGCCCATTAAATGGTTGATATGAGTGTGCGTTGCCATGTGTGTGGGGTATGTGTGTGTTATTATTTTATTATTATTTCTTCTACATTGTGTTTTTATTTTCTGTAGGCCGCCTAGAGTTACCGTGAGTGAGTAGGTGGCTGTATAAATTTTCCAAACAAATGAATAAAAGAACTTCCTGCTTCTTCCTTTGTGACTTCGTCTTCTTCCTCTTCCCAAGGCATTCCAAACTGCTTATTTATCACTCTAAAGGGCTAATGGACTAAAGGGCTCTTGGACGTCAACAATAAGGATAGGTGGTAAGGTGGAACACCTGAAAGACTGAGCTGCAACGTCAGTTAATTTTAATTTTTTTCTCCTTCAGAAAAATGGAACCACCTCAGTGTTTGGGAAACCCCTAAAACCTTTGTAGAAAATTAATAATGTTAAACATTTATGACCACTTAAGTACGAGACAGTTAATGTGGCTGCAGTTGCCAAAAAAGCCACTGCAGTCATAGGCTGTATCAACAAAGGGATAGCATCAAGACAACGAGAAGTGTTAGTACCACTTTATACTGCACTGATCAGGCCACACTTGGAATACAGTGTCCAATTTTGGTCAATATGATACCAAAAAGATGTTGAGACTCTAGAAGGAGTACAGAGAAAAGCAATCAAGATGATCAGGGCTCTAGATGATAAAATGTGTTAAGAACAGTTGCAGGAACTGGGTATGGTAGTCTAAAGAATAGAAGGATTATGGGTGACATGACAGCACTCTTCCAATATTTGAAGGGCTGCCACAGAGAAGAGGGGATCAACCTATTCTTAGTAAGGCCACACCTAGAGTACTGCATCCAGCTTTGGTCACCACACTATAAAAAAGATGTTGAGACTCTGGAAAAGGTGCAGAGAAGAGCAACCAGGATGATGAGGGGACTGGAGGCTCAAATATATGATGAACGGTTGCAGGAACTGGGCTTGGCTAGTCTAGTGAAGAGAAGGATCAGGGGAGACAGGAGAGCAGCCTTCCAATATTTGAGGGGCTGCCCCAGAGAGGAGGAAGGGGTCAAGTTATTTTCCAAGGCACCCGAAGGCCAGAGAAAGAAGAATGGATGGAAACTGAACACGGAGTGATTCAACTTGGAAATAAGGAGGAATTTTCTGACAGTGAGAACAATCAACCCATGGAACAGAAGATGCCTTCAGAAGTTGTGGGAGCTTCATCACTTGAGACTTTCAAGAAGAGATTGGACCAGCCACCTGTCAGAAATGGTGTAGGGTCTCCTGCTTAGGCAGGGGGTTGGACTAGATGACCTACAAGGTCCCTTCC